GAGAAGGATTTTTCTGATGTATGTAGATGCTTCATTCTTTGGGGCACAAATATTTATGATGGTTATGTCTGGTTGATATATAGTTCCCTTAAGCACCATGAAATGTCCTTCTTTGTCCCTTCTTATTAACTTTGGCTTGAAGTCCATCATATCTGATATGATGATAGAAACCCCTACTTGTGGGGCTGGGGTTGTGGCTCAGTGGTAGAGCACTAACCTAATATGTTCGATGCCCTGGATTTGATTCTCAGCACCACATAAAATAAGTAAATAAAATAAAGCTATTAAAAAAAAGAAAGAAAGAAACCCCTACTTGTTTATGAGATCCATGTGAATGATGTTTTTCTCATCCTTTTACTTTCAGTCTGTGTATGACTTTGCCCATGAGGTGAGTCTCTTGGAGACAGCATATTGTTGGGTCTTGTTTTTAATCCAATCTGCCAGTCTGTGTCTTTTGATTGATAAATTTAAGACATTTACTATCAATGTTATTATTGAGATATGATTTTTATTCCCTGTCATTTTAATTTATTTCTGGTTTTTAATTTGAATTAGTTTCTCCAGTGACTCACTGTTCTTTTAATGTAGTTCCTCCCTGTTCAGGTTTTCACTTTTATTTTTCATTTCTTCTTCATGAAATGTCTTATTATGTTTTGCAGTGCAGGCTTTTTAGTTGTGAATTCTTTTAACTTGTTTATCATGGAAAGTTTATATTTTATTTCATCATCAATTCTTTTTTTTTTAAAGAGAGAGAATTTTTTTAATATTTATTTTTTAGTTTTTCGGTGGAAACAACATCTTTATTTTACTCTTTTTTTTTTAATGTAGTGCTGAGGATTGAACCCAGTGCCCCGCGCATGCCAGACGAGCGCGCTACCACTTGAGCCACATCCCCAGCCCATCATCAATTCTTAAGCTTAATTTTGCTGAGCATAGTATTCTTGGCAGGTATCCATTTTTCTTCAGAGCTTGGTATATATTATTCTAAGACCTCCTAGCTTTAAGGGTCTGGGTTGAGAGATCATCTGAGGTCCAGATTGGTTTCCCTTTAAATGTTACCTGTCATTTTTCTCTGGAAACCTTTAAAATTTTATCCTCATTCTGTATGTTAGGCATTATCATAATGATGTGCCTTTGTGTGGGTCTGTTGTAATTTTGCATATTTGGGGTCCTATAAGCCTCCTAGCTTTGATTTTTCATTTCATTCTTTAGTTTGGGAAATTTTCTGATATTATTTCATTGAAAAGATTGTACATTCCTTTTGTTTGTATCTCTGAGCTTTCATTTATCTTAATAAATTTTAAATTTGTTCTTTTTGGGTTATCTCATATTTCTTGGAAGTTCTGTTCATAGTCTCTTAACATCATTTCTCCATGGTCAACCTTGTTTTCAAGATGATATATTTTGTCTTCATTCCCTGAAATTCTGTCTTTCAAGTAATCTAGTCTGTTGGTGATGCTTTCAATTGAATTTTTAATTTCAAGGATTTCTGCTTGTTTTTTCCCCAGAATTACTCTTTATTGAAGTGATCTTTCACTTCCTGTATTTCCTATTTCTCTCCATATATTGTCCTTTACTTCACAGATCAATTTAACTATGTACATTCTAAATTTCTTCTATGATATTTTTTATATTGTGGTATGGATGGATTCTGTTATTAGAATATCTTGGTTTTKGGGGGATGATTTGTTCCCTTGTTTTTTATTGTTGTTTGTGTGGCTACCCATCTGACAGTATGGATCTGATAGTGTCCCTGAGGGTTTCTAGTACCTCACTGTTTAGGGAGAGACAAATAATAACAACAAACAAAGCAAACAATATACAGTATTAAACCAAATAGTTGCTGCTWTGGCATCTAGACTATTAATTGTGACAGTAAACAAATTATATGATCAGTTATTGCCTACAATAAAAATAGCAATTTTGCAAAAGCGTTTATAATTTTAAATGATGGACAAGGAGAGAACAGAAGTGATATAGGATGTGATGAAGGAGGGAGGACTAGAGAAGATAGAAGTAAAAAATTAAAGGAAGACTGAAAGCAACAACAATGGAAATTGGCTGTTAGTGTAAGAAAAGAGTGAAAGAGAATCAAGGAAAACAGGTCAGAGAGAAATAAAGTAAAAATTTAAAAAAATTAAAAATAAAAGATATAAAACAAAACTAAAATATACTAATCAAACATCCTAGTCCTTGACAGAGTGATCCATGAAAAATAACTGGCTTCAAAAATGCTAGAAATGGAAAAAAATGAGTATTTATAAATATCTATGAACCATTAAGGTCACAATTAAACAGAGGGGAGAGAGAGAAAGAGAGAGAGAGAAAGAAAATCTCAATGACAGTTAAAAAATTTCTTTCTGTTGCAGTTTAAAAGATTTTTCAGCTTCTCATCCATTTTAGGTGGGGTCATCTGGAGTATGATGCTCTACCCTCCAGATTGCTGGAGAGAGGTAATCCTGTAGGTGGGATTCTTGGAGGCAGGGTTTATGCTAAGGTGGGCTCCCGGCCCTTTGTTAAATGTCACTTGGTCTGGAGATTTTAAATCAGCACGCCTCCAAGGCCGAGTAATTGCCTATCCATGCTGGAAGACTATACTCCTGGGATCTACTCCTATGGTAAGGGACCCAATTCTTAGTCCCCTATGCAAAATGGATCCTTCCTTTGTGCTCCACAGGCCACTTGGAGAGATGGTGGCTCCTTCCCACATTAGGATATTGTGCAGTGCACCTCTCAGTTTAGTCAGACAGTGTCCCTGATCTCAGTGCTCCCTAAAATGCAAGTTCCTTTAATTCCCTTATCACTCCACTGTGCTGTGGAGGGACTTCTCTGGCTGGTGCTTCTGACCCAGCCACAGGAGTGACTGTGCTGCTGGGGATTTCTCCTTATTTTATTATATCCAATCTCCTGAGTCCCTGATCTGCCTTGAATATCCAGTTTTTAATTCTAATAAAGTTCCCCCACCCTTTTTAAAATTTATCCACCTTGCTGAGAAGCTGCCTGTCTACCTTCTTGGTTTCACCCCATGGAGCAGCCAGGAAAGCGACCTCATCTAGTCCCCCATTTTGAAAACTCTCATATGGTTATTCTATGTTTAACTTTCTAAGGAAGTGCTAAACTATTTTCAGCAGAGAAAAACATTTAGAGCTCCATTAGTAATGTAAACTTCTCCACATCCTTGCCAAAACTGTGATCACTTGTTATTTCCTTTTTTTTTTTTTAATTTGGAAACTGGTTGTGGTTTTGAGGTACCGCCTTTTAAAGGAAAAAATAAAACTTTCAAAAATTTTATTTTTATGGTATTTTGAAAAATGTCTTTTCAGGGGTATGCTGCAAATTCTAAATCCTTGAAAATAAAGAATATATTGTATATTTGTTTGCTAGTGTTGCCATATATGCTGGGACTGGTCACAGTCTGAAAGCTGGAAGTCCAAGTTCAAGGTGCCAACAGGACTGGTTTCCCCTGAGGACACAGGGGAAGGGTGTGTTCTCAGCCTCTTCGCTTGGTCTGGAGATGGACACCTTCTCGCTGCTTTGGCTTTGTGTGATCTTCCCTCTGTGCACAAACGTACCGAGGTCTCTGTGTCTAGACTTCCTCCTCTTATAAGGACACCAGTTAAATTGGATTCAATTCCATTCTTAAAGCCACATTGTTTTAATTACTTCTTTAAAGGCCCTGCCTCCAAAAATAGTCATATTCTGAGATAGTGGGGGTTAGGGATTCCACATGAGAATTTTGGGGAGACAGTTCAACTTATAGCATGTCACAGTACTTTATCATATGTAATTAGAAAATAGGGCAGAATTAAATTTTGAAGATAGGTGACATCAGCCTCTTTAAGTTAAAAAATTATTTGAAATGTTTTAAATGAAACAATTTGAAACAATGTGATTTTATATCTTAAATCTATTGTGTCATACAAAGTCTTCATTATAAACATTATTAATTTTGTGCTAGGAAAGTAATGATGCCATTACTTTTATTTATAAAAGCTCTATTCTTTCTCCTAATTTGATGTTGCTAATCGCTTGTTAGTTTAGAAACCAAATTATTAGTTTGTTAGGGTTATTTTTGTATTTTCTCTATGCCTGCTTTATAGTTGAGGTTGCTAAGTTTTATTAAATTGTCTTCATTTAAAAATTGAAAAACATTATGTTTTTAGGTAAAGTTAGGTAAATATTAGAATATATATCWCATTTAAAATTCATTAATCTAAAGATGATGCATAGTCTAGTCTTTTCTAGATCTTCAAGTTGTAATGATGTGCAATTTTTCTTGCTTGATTAAAAAATTGTCAGGATGTGATAGAATTAATAAAAATACTGACATGAAAGAGATAGACTTGAACATTATTATTAAATAAACTTATAGTACTAAATTGTACTTTTTGTTTGTTTTCCCAAGCTTTAGTAAGGAAGCAATAAAATGAATGCTTATTACAATGAACAGTTTCTAATGATGAGCTTTCTCACCATTAGGGAAAGTTCTGTTTTTCTATTAGACCTTAGATAAACATTTCCCAAAATTTTCCACACATACAGTTTTCTATTAAGCATAATGTCATTTGAGGATTTTTCAGTGCCAAGAGAATATGTACGTATTTTGCTATACCTCCCCAAGTGATTTTACTATCTTTTCCTAATTTTCAAAAGTCCTTTTCTTTCTTTCTTTCTTTCTTTCTTTCTTTCTTTCTTTCTTTCTTTCAAGGAATTTGTGTATGGTGGTGTGGATTTTAGGTATTCCTGTGCATATGGATATTGAGACATAGAACATGGAAAATAAAAGCTAAAGAAGGAAGACCATAACATTTAATATCATCAGAGTTGCATTTAGCCTTCTGAATTTCGTGTTAAATAGTGTCAGAGGGAAATACGAATCAAGAAACAGAATTAATAACTGTCTTTTCTCCCAATTTGCTGGGGACAAAAGACATCATGTGTTACTGTCAATTGCTATATATAACTGAAAAATCATATAATGCTTGTCCATCTTCACTTAGCATGGACATATATCAGGAAGCTACATGACCTCAAAGAAGGATCAACATAACAAGAAGTTTAAAAGTAAAGAGTATGACGAGTACAGTGCCTACAGTGATGACAACTTTGGTAGCTACAGTGATGACAACTTTGGTAGCTACAGTCAGGAAACAGAGGAAGATTTTGCCAATCAGCTGAAACAGTACAGACAAGCTAAAGAAACCTCAAGTACTTCTTTAGGGTCATCATTTTCTAAAGAATCAGGGAAAAAAACAAGACTGAAAGGAGCTCAGCAAGGTAAGTCTGAAATTAGTCTTTTAGAATATGAGAGCCTTACTGAAACAGCAAGGTGTAGATTAAAAATTGAGAAATGTTTTAGCCTTTCTCAAGATTTGCTAATTATTATGGTACTCAGATCCATTTTCCTTTTTATGTAAGCCTTCAGGCTACAAATCAATCTGTATGATACCTTAATATTTCAACTATAAAGATGTTCTAATAATTTAAAAGTATAAACATATAATGAAACTTTCTTATATTCTCTCCTTCTATTTGATATTATCTTTGTTAACCTATGTGTTATTTATATTTTAGACCAATAAAGACAATACTGGGAACTGTAAATATGGTGATCATCTTTGCTAGGTAAATGTACATGGGGCTATGAAGCCTTTAAGATTGAAAATATGAACATAATCTAAGAAATTTTTGCAGTGATCACCAGTTTATCACTATATTGAAGTATCTGGTCCCTGGAGAGACCAGTACAAGTTGGTAGCTGGAGACAATAGATGAAGAAACTTTAGGTCATGGAAGGCTTAAATCAGCTTGACTGTGAATTATATCTCAGTTACTCTAAAGTTAATGAATAGCTTTTAACACCTGTGTTCTAGTCAATTAAATAGATGTACCATAATTTGCCTTAACAAATAGTTAGGTATGTGTGGAAGTACAGTGATTACGTGGGATACAAGTTGCAACCAGTTGTATTGTTCCAATTCTGCGAATGACCCTGTGATAAACTTAGTTGTACATATCTCAGAAAACATTGACAAACATAAGAATAAATTAAGAATAAATTATGAAAAGTAAATTTGCAAAGTCAAAAGACACAGATACACATTTAAAGATTTTTTGACTCATATGCCAAGTGGATAGCCAAAAGGTGAGTACCAGTTTATAACTACAAGGCACTCATCAGTGGGTAAAAATTCAGATTTCTCCTAAGTCCTACCAACAGAGATTTATTATTCTTTGAGGTGAAAACTGTTAATGTTATTTTTCAAAGTCTTAATTTCTTTGACTTATGTCAATGAAATTGAAAGTTTTTTTGATGTTTATTGGTTGTATTATAGATTTTAAAGATATTAGATCACTTTCAGTGTGACTTTGGCAAAATGAGAAATTACTTTGTATAATAATGTACCATCCTAACATAAAATTTTTAAAAATTGGAGTATCTTTTTAAGTACTTTTAAGTACCAAATTTTTCAAAAGCACAAAACCAGTATGATTTTTAGTTGGAGATATATATCTGTTCAAAATTATCAATAGAAATTTGGTTTACTCCAAATTATCCACTGATATCTATGTTGTATTCCTTAAATATGAATATAATGCTTACCTCTCTTTAAAACAGAAAGGCTTAAGAAAACAAAAAATGCTGTCTAATTGTCCTGTCTTAAGGAAAATTAAAAGAAAAAATACTAGTGTTGACTTCTCTAGCTATGAATATTCTTGTTCCTTGCTTCCTGTGTTGTTAACATCTCTTTGGAAACAAAGAAGCAAGAACCAGTACCCAGGAGGTAAAATGTAAAGATTCAGTTAAATTTTTTTCATGGAACCTGAGGAGAAATAAAAGGATGCAATGTATACTGTAGATTATTAAATTATTAAATATACTGTTCCTCATAAACTAATAGATTTCTAGATATGTTGTTTTTCTATAATATTTGAAGTACATTTTAACTTTTTTAGGTACTGAACAGAGGATTAAAAGTTTTAATATTAGTCGTGGACGTGGTTTGCCGAAGAAAATCAAACGAAAAGACCGTGGAGGAAGAGTCAATAAAGGGCCCGGTGTTTTTTCAGGAATGGATGACTTTCAAGAGGTACTGAGAATTTACATTTAAGGAAGAGTGGAGCTTTCCTATCTCTTAATATATTTGGTTGTTGGGGCTGGGACTGTAGCTTAGTGGTAGAGCACCTGCCTCATACATGTGAGTTTGATCCTCAGCACCACGTAAAAATAAATAAAAACAAAGGTATTGTGTCCATCTACAACTAAAAAAATAATAATAACAAAAATATATTCGGTTGCAAAGAAAGCATTATGATTTTAACACCTCTTTCCTAATAAATGAAAAATGTCCAGCTCAGATTAAAGAGTATAAATAAACTTCCCCTAAGCGAGAGTTGTTTTAAGTAGTCATGATTATGGAATAGAAGTACAAATTTAGGTGACCTAGAAATAAAATTGGTATGTGGGAAAGAACCTTAAAGTAAAATTGAGATGTTTCAAAGCAAAACTGTATCCCATTAGTCCTCCCTTGGCATTCCTTCCCTAGGAGTCCTCTTCCCCAGATAAAAAAATACCAATAAACTGCTAACAGCTCAACATGGAGCAAGACCAAGAAGGGAAGCAATGGTAAATCAACTTACTTTTTACAGTGGAAGGTACTGAAAGGAAGAGAAGAGAATGTGAATGGTTCGAAGGATAAACTTACATACCTTGCATGAAGTAGTTCTTTTTTAAGTATGTGTTGAGCTGAAATCTGAATATATTTCAACCCATAGCAACTCTCTGGACTAGATCTTGCCACTGTTATTGAGATATGATTGCATTATACGGAGTCAGGAGTAGGTTATTTAAAGCTGCAACCTTAAATGAACTATATGTTGTAATTTGAAAATGTTTATTTTCCTCATTTATGAGTTTAAAGGTTATAGGCAGAGATTTCTTAAGATGTTCTTCTTAGTATACTGTTTAAAGAGATGTTAGCAGCTATTAACTGCTAATGTTAGGATTTTCCAGAGTACTTTGATTGTAGTATTATAGCCAAGATGCCTATAGTTAATGTTACTGAGATATTTTGTACCTGTTTAAACTGAACTACAGAACTAGATAAATCTATCCACATCCTTTATTAAAATAATGAAGCAGTATTGGAAAGTAATGTTGACAGAGGGAGTTATTAATGAAACATAAGTTCAATTTGTTGCATTTTCAGGGTGTGTGTGTGTGTGTGTGTGTGTGTGTGTGTGTGTATGTGTGTGTGTGAGATTACTTACTTTTTCACTTTTCTTTTTTGGTACTGGAGATGAAACCCAAGGGCACTTTACCATTGAGCTACATCCCTAGCCCTTTTTAATTTTTTAAGTTTTGAGACAGGGTCTTTCTATGTTGCTTAGGCTCTCACTAAATTACTGAGGTTGACCTTGAACTTGGCAGTCTTCCTGCCTTGCCCCCAATCCCCAGTTGCTGGATTACAGGCATGTGCCACCATGACCAGCTAATTTTTCACTTTTCAACTTCAGACTTAATTCTTCAGATTGGCTTATAGAAGTTTGCATGATGTACTCTCTGTGGATGATTATTTTATTATAGCCACAATTCTTAGTACAGAAGGCATATGTGAGCTAGTCATTTATATTCAACTGTTTTAAATGAATCCATGCCTAACTATAAAAATGTTTATGAATCAAATTTACGCAAATTTAAGATATTTTAAATGATTTTATCAGTAGAAGTAATCTCATCGTGTTTTCCTGGGACAAGTTGAGTAAACTTATATTTTTAAAATGAACCTCTAGGTTATTTGGTATTCTTGTGCCCTTTTCAGATTTCTGATAGTAAAACCCAATATCAGCAGTGAGTGCTGAGGATCAGATTTTAGTTGGCTATCTCTTGCTTCATGGGTTTGATCTGCAATTATTTTCAATAGATTGTACAGCATCTTGCAAACTAAGGGAAAGAGGGAAGGCAATCAAAGAGCAAATACCTATGATGTACAAGACACATTACACAGTAGGTGCTTGAAAAACAGTATTATTTTATAAAATATATGCATGTAGCTCATTATATTCAGCTTGTCTCAGCACCATATTCTGCCTTCTTACCCAGCACTTTTTGTTTATGGAATGGGGGATTGAACTCAGGGGCACTTGGCCACTGAGTCACATCCCCAGCCCTATTTTGTATTTTATTTAGAAACAGGGTCTCACTGAGTTGCGTAGTGCCTCACTTCTGCCGAAGCTGGCTTTGAACTCATAATCCTCCTGGGTTAGCCTCCCAAGCTGCTGGGATGATAGGCATGAGCCACTGTGTCTGATTTACCTAGTACTTTTATGCACTGTTTTTACACAATATTTTTACACTGAATAGAGGACTGGGGAGAACTAAGGAAAAGAAAAAGTACTTGGATTCTTTTTCATAATTTTTCCTAATGTATTTTTCTTAATTTTATAAGCTTAAAGGTAATAATTCTTGTTTTTCCTAAGAGGAGAAGACGTTTATTTGTGCTCATTTTTGCTTTTTTTTTTTCCCTTAAAGAAAATACAGAAAAGCCACATACTTAGAAAACCTCTAATCCCACCATCCAAATACAGACACTAAAATGTAGAGGTATTTTATTTGAGTCTTTTTTTATTTGCCTTTATTTATTATTTTAAAATTGGGATCAGTTTTTCACTTCATAAGGTATTATAAGCATTTCCTATATCACAAAGGTCTCTATCACATGATTTAATTATGACTGTACCTTAATGTATTTATAATATATTTGACTTGTCTCCTACTTTGGGATGTGTTGAGTGTTTCTGGTTTTGTTTATTGTTATTATGTAAGTAGTTCTTTATTAATAATTGTTATAGATAAATCTATATTTGCCATTCTGAGAATTCCTTCAGTATAATCCTGAAAACTACAAATTATTTGTTAAACAATATGTAATTTTATTAATGTATTTGTTTTTGCAGTTCTAGGGATTAAACCTAGGGCCTTGTGCATCCTAGGCAAGTACTTTACTACTGAACTACTCTCTGACTGGCCCCTGACTCTAATATGGATATTTTAACTTTTTTATGACATAACTACTAGCAGTATATGAAAGTGCATATTTTATGGCATCTTTGCCAAAACAGTATTATTGTGATATTTTGAGTTTTTTATAATTTTGTTTTAAAAATATAAGTATTACATTCTTATTAAAATAGAAGTAGCTTCTTTTCAATCAGTGGTAGCAATAAGCAGAATACTAGAAATAGCTCTCCCTCCAGTTAAATGAATAGTATCAAAATATTCAATCTTGATTAACCTTATTAGTCAGTTTATACTGCTGTCCAGACCCACTTAACTATATATTTTTAATACCTGTTAATATTTCATATGTTTCATTTAAATAAAACTTTTTCTTGCAGTATAGTAAACCAGGGAAAAAATGGAAGGTGATGACTCAGGAATTTATTAACCAGCACACCGTGGAACACAAAGGAAAGCAAATCTGTAAATACTTCTTGGAAGGAAGATGTATTAAGGTAAGATGTGTAAAGAGTGTCACAAGTCATTCTGACTTCCAAAATAATCTTTAACATTTAAAGTCTTTTATGGGAGAGGTTAATTTTTGTTTCATTTCTCACATAATCATAATAAAACTAGTTCTTTTTTTTTTTAGTTGTTGATAGACTTTTATTTATATGCAGTGCCGAGAATCAAACCCAGTGCCTCACACATGCCAGGCAAGTGGACTACCACTGTGCCATAGTCCCAGCACCATAAAACTAGTTCTTTAAAATATATCTTGTATGAAATTACAGTACACTGGATCTCATTTAATTATATTCTGGGACAACACTATCACAATTTGTAGAAATCAGATTTTATTTAACGAATATGTTAATATTTGTGGCAAGTACTGTCAGTGTGGCAAATACTACAATGAATATGAAATAATCCTTATAGTGACCTTACCAAGTAATTATTGTTATCATCCCCACTTTATATATGGCACCAAGAGGCTAAATAAGATCCCATGGAAAGTCAGCTTGAAATGGTGAGTGCTGGTGGGCAGTGTCTTCTGAGGCCTTGCTCACTCTGCTGCCTCACTGCACATAGCCATGTCCACTGCTTGGGCAGGGAACCTAAGAGATCGTTTACATTATTATTAGCTCATTATTTAAAGACTGAAGAGAAGGACCATAATTCCATTATGAAACCCCATGGAGGAAATAAAGTTCAAATGTTTCTTTTTCATTTCTTACTTTTTTTTTTTTTTTGAACAGGGAGATCAATGTAAATTTGATCATGATGCTGAGTTGGAAAAGAGAAAAGAGATCTGCAAGTTTTATTTACAAGGATACTGTACCAAAGGAGAGAACTGCATTTATATGCATAATATCCTTTATTAAAGATGTGTGTTAACCAGAATGTTGAGGTTTTAAAGTCTCATTGTGGTTTTAAAAAATCATAAATACAGTTTAGAAATCTTAGCTTGGTTTTATGTTTAAAACAACATATTACATAAACCCAAATTAGGCAAACTGACTTTTGTTCTTTAGGGAAATGAAATAACTTCCTTTAGAGAAAACTATTAAAAAGGAAGCTTTGTGTATAAAATAATCTGCTTAAAATATTTTAAGCGACTGTACATCCTGAAGAAATAGTTAGAAAAATATTTATCTTACAACTTTTTACTTAGGTTCATAAGTTGAAAATTATAAATTATCATTGTTGAAAATTATAAAGTCAGTCTCATCAAATCTACCACCCAATGATAAACACTGTATATTCTCCCTCTGTTTCCTTTTGGAAATATATACATTTAAATTGTACTCTTGCTCCTAGGCAAGTAAGAATTTCATTATATATATAGTGTAGTGGCCCATTTAAAAATATATATGTATTATGCACCTTTCCATGTCAGTTTTCCCCAGAATACCTAAGATGTTTGCTTGCTGTGCTTACAACTAATGAAGCTTCTCCATGGACTTGAAACTCTATCTTGACGGAGACAAGAATGTTAATACATACTTTTTTTCCCCTGGGTTTTCTGTGAATTTGTTTGCCTTCATATCTGTGTTGCTTTGCTACTTTATATGCTGTGATATATTAGATTCTCAGATTTATTTTTCTAGGTTCTTTTTTTTTTGTACTAGAAATTGAATCCAGGGGTGCTTTACACTAAGCTACATCTCCAACCCTTTCTAAGACTTTTATTTTGACACAGGGTCTCACTAAGTTGCTTAGGGCTTTGATAAATTGCTGAGACTGGCCTCAAACTTTCAATCCCCCTGCCTCAGCCCTCCCAGTTGCTAGGATTATAGGCATGTTCCACCACAGCTGGCATAAAAAGACATCTTCTTAGACAGTCTGGAAACTTTCTATATTGACTGAGTACTAGTTGAAATTAATGAAGTAAGTTTGTCAAGTTGATAATGAAGTTATAATTGGTAAGAAAAAGTATCATTTATCTGTTTGAAATAGATATGGAAATATTTGCAGATGAAATTGTTGGGAGTCTCCCTGAGAACTCCYGGGCCTTTCAAACATGGCGGTGGCAAATTGCCATTGGGCAGCTAGAACTCCCTGGGCCTTTCAGATAAGGAGCACCTAATGCAACCTGGCGACGGGCAAGTTGCCAGTGRGTGGATAACAAGTTGTTTTGAAAACCTTCTAATTGGTCCTTCTGTCTTCGTGGACAGTTCGTGCCCCCCATGAATCTTATGCAGGGAGGACGTGCATGCGAAGTAAGGTGATGACCTGACCTTTACTATGATTGGCCCCGGGAGCTTCCTGGTTTAAGATAACCGACTTTCACTTTCTATATAAGCTAGAAYCAGCTTGCAGTAAAGTACTTCATCTTTGTCACTGCTATCTGTGTGTGTGCATTTTAATCTCTGACAACGAACCTTGGCCTTTCAGAAATATGTTTGGAATATGCTCTAAAATTCTCAAGTTTTTGGAGTGAGTTGTGAAGAGAGTGTAGAGGTGATTCAGAATCACAAAATTGCCAAATGATGAAACTGGTTGACCCTCCATGGTTAGCATGAGGAAGTTTATTTTATTATCTTTATTTTGGCATGTGTTTGATAACTTTCAAACTAACTTTTTAAAAAAGTCTTTTTTTTTTTTTAAGAGAGAGTGAGAGAGGAGAGAGAGAATTTTTAATATTTATTTATTTATTTTTTTTAGTTCTCGGCAGACACAACATCTTTGTTGGTATGTGGTGTATGTGGTGCTGAGGATCGAACCTCGATCCGCACGCATTCCAGGCGAGCACGCTACCGCCTGAGCCACATCCCCAGCCCATAAAAAAGTCTTAAGTAATGTCATTCTTCAGGGTAACTGTACCTACAGTTCATCTTAAACCTTTTTGGCATTTTTCTATGCTAAATTATAGATGTGTGAGGGAACGTATACATGAATATATACTCAAGTTTTTCCAAAAGTGAGATCTATGTTTGTAAAGATTTTATTGTTTTACTTAATATTTATGTTTTTAATTCTATTTTGGGGTGTACAAATATTAAAACTTTTAAAATATTTTTATCAGTTGACCTTGTTTTTTTCTAAATGGTTAACTCACTGTCTTATTTTAACTAATGGCTTGGTGCTATGGCACATGCTTAGAATCCCCAGTCTTTGGGAGGTGGAGGCAGAGGCTTTGTGAGTTTGGGGGCCAGCTTGGGCAACAGAGCAAGTAAAAGGCACTTTTACTARATCCCAAGTTTGTTTTTTTCTTTAAATAAACAGTTCTGCTTCTTATCCCTTGTGCTATTTAACTATTCCCCACTAAAAGAGTATGTTTGATATTTGTTAGGGTATATAAATGTCTCTTCTTTATCAAATGTTATAATAAATTTGTCTTACTCAAGAAAAATTATTTTTTCAGATTTGACATAGTTCTTCAGAAACTAGACACTTATTAAACTCTTGTTTCTAAAAGTTTTTAGTTGTTCCTTGGGTTTTTTCATAATCATGCCATTTGTATATACTGATCATTTTATTTCATTAACAGTATTTATACTTCCGATTTATTTTTAATTATTTTGTCTACACTTTCAGAATAAAGTTAGGTTATAGTGATTATGGAAGACATGTTTTGATGATAATGTCCTTTGAATGGCTTGTAGCTATAATTTTAAGATTGATTTTTAAAATATCAAGGAAGTAAATTCTTACATTACCAAGAGTTTTTTATAAAAAAGAAAAGAAAAAGAAAAACAATAAACAAACAAAAAAAAAGAATTTTGAATTTTTTTTTTTCTTCATGGTACTGGGGATTGAACCCAGAGCCTTGTGCATGTTAGGAAAGTACTCTACTTCGAAACTACATCCCAAGCTAGAAGTTTGAATTTTATCATTTGTGTTTTGCATGCTCCAAGATGATCATGTGATTTTTTTTCTCCCTTGACCATGTCAATATGATTGCAGTAATGGGTATTCTATGGGCCTACGCCACCCCAAAATGGTATACTTTAAGTTTTCTTCCAAATTTAATAGTTTCTTAGAAGTTTGTCTCCAGAAACTTAAGTATGATAAGTATTGGATATATTTGCTTTTAAATGACATATAAACCCTCATTATTTTCATCATAGATATAAATTCTTGATATAAAATTTATATATGCTGTAAATTTTATTGTAGAAAGTAGCAGGACCTACACAATTACAATACTGTCATATTTGATACAACCATTATAATTTTTTTTCCTTTCAAAAAGTGATTTCTATTTTTAATAGAATAATAGACTTAAAGCTTTTAAAATATTTTTACATAATGAAAATATTAATATTAAAATAAACAATAAATTATCTATGTAGTTATAGAAGCTTCAGCATCATATACCATACAGTCCTATTGATTTGGCACAGTTTTTTTTTATTGTAGTAAGAATACTAACTCTGGGCTGGGGTTGTGGCTCAGCGGTAGAACACTTGCCTAGCACAAGCAAGGCCCTGAATTCGATCCTCGGTGCCACATAAAAAGAAATAAAATAAAGGTATTGTGTCCAACTACAACTAAAAATAAATATTTTTAAAAAATATTAAATATGAAATCTATTCTCTCAGCAAATTTTTAAAAAGATAAAATACAGTATTGTTGGCTATTAGCACATTGTTTTATAGCAAATCTTTAGAACTTAATCATCTTATATATAACAGTTACATTTTTGGTTTAAAAAAATTAGACCTTGATTTACTTCTGTCTGTTCCTTAATTTTTTTGTTTACATGAATTCCCATGCAAGTTTTATCATAGTGGAGCAAAATGTTATCAAGGAGACAACTGTAAATTTTCCCATGATGATTTGACAAAAGAAACAAAGAAACTTTTGGATAAAGTGAGTAGCATTTTTTTTACCTTGAGTATTTGTTACATTTCTCTACAGATTAATTTTACTGAGATCACATTTTATAAAGTATATTTTATGGAATTCTGATAAGATATAGAGGATTTGCTATTTGATGTTTATTCTATTAATATTGTATGTTAGAAAAGCTGAATTATTGTATTAGGAATTAGGAAATTTTGCTCTTTGTTCTGCATTAAAAATCTTGTTTACAGGCTAGGGATATAGCTCAGTACATAGAGTGCTTGCTTCTCATGCACAAGGCCCTGGATTCAATCCCTAGTACCACAAATGAAACAAACAAACAAAAAAACAAACTCATTTACTTTGAGCAGCATCGTTTACCTCTTTGAACCTCATTCTGTTTTTCTGTTTTGTTTTCAGTGGGGGAAAGAGTGGTGCTAGGGATTAAACCCAGGGGCACTTTACTGAAGAGCTATATCCCTCKACCTCTTAGTTTTTTCTTTTYTTTTTTTTTTTTTTGCATTCTGCTGTCATTTATTTTTTAAAAAAATAAATTTAAAAAAACTAAGCAACAATCGAACCCATTTTTTTTTTTTTGGTGCCAAGGATTGAATTCAGAGACATTCAACCACTGAGCCACATCCCTAGCCCTATTTTTTGTATTTTATTCAGAGACAGGGTCTCACTGAGTTGCTTAGCACCATGCTTTTGCTGAGGCTGGCTTTGAGATTGCAATCCTCCGGCCTTAGTCTTCTTTTTTTTTTTTTTTTTTTTTTTTTTTTTTTTATTGTTGGTCGTTCAAAACATTACATAATTCCTCATACATCATATTTCACAGTTTGATTCAAATGAGTTATGAACTCCCAATTTTATCCCGTATACAGATTGCTGTATCACATCAGTTACCCTTCCATTGATTGACATATTGCCTTTCTAGTGTCTGATGTATTCTGCTGTCTGTATTATTCTCTACTATCCCCCCTCCCCTCCCCTCCCCTCCCCTTTTCTCTCTCTACCCCTTCTACTGTAAATCACTTCTTCCATTTGAATTATCTTGTCTTACCCCTCCTTTCCTCTTATATGTCATTTTGTATAACCCTGAGGATCGCCTTCCATTTCCATGCGATTCCCCTTCTCGTTTCCTTTCCCTCCCACCTCTCAACCCTGTTAATGAAAATCTTCGTCTCAAGCTCTTCGTCCCTACCCTGTCCTTGTTTCCTCCCCTTATATCAGAGGAGTCATTTGGTATTTGTTTTTTAAAGATTGACTAGCTTCACTTAGCATAATCTGCTCTAATGCCATCCATTTCCCTCCAAATTCTATGATTTTGTCATTTTTAAATGCAGAGTAATACTCCATTGTGTATAAATGCCACATTTTTTTAATCAATTCATCTATTGAAGGGCATCTAGGCTGATTCCACAATCTTGCTATCGTGAATTGTGCTGCTATGAACATCGATGTAGCAGTGTCCCTGTAGCATGCTCTTATTAGGTCTTTAGGGAATAGACCGAGAAGGGGAATAGCTGGGTCAAATGGTGGTTCCATTCCCAGCTTTCCAAGAAATCTCCATACTGCTTTCCAAATTGGCTGCACCAATTTGCAGTCCCACCAGCAATGAACAAGAGTGCCCTTTTCCCCACATCCTCTCCAGCACTTATTGTTGTTTGACTTCCTAATGGCTGCCAATCTTACTGGAGTGAGATGGTATCTTAGGGTAGTTTTGATTTGCATTTCTCTGACTGCTAGCGATGGTGAGCATTTTTTCATGTACTTATTGATTGATTGTATGTCCTCTTCTGAGAAGTGTCTGTTCAGGTCCTTTGCCCATTTATTGATTGGGTTACTTGTTGTCTTATTGTCTAATTTTTTGAGTTCTCATTTTGAGGCAGTTCTTGCTAAATTGCTCAGAGCCTTGCTAAATTTGGAGACTGGCCTCAAACTTGGAATTCTCTGACCTTAGCTTCCTTGAGTCAGTGAGATTTCAGGCATGCACAACTGCACCTGGTTACCTCATTCCATTTATTGAAAATAATATTGTCTTCTTAACTTGAATAGAAATAGCTTTAATGGGTTACATTAGTTAAATCTGACCCATTTCAGCTTTAATATTGTATTATTCTATTTCTAAACTAGTTAACTAAAGTTTTCACAATTTTTAATGTGAGAAAGAAAGCTTATTTTGAGATAGTAATCTTTACCAATTATTTTTAGGTGTTGAATATGGATGAAGAACTTATAAATGAAGATGAACGAGAATTAGAAGAACTTAGAAAGCGTGGCATAACTCCTCTTCCCAAACCACCTCCTGGAGTTGGGCTTTTGCCAACTCCACCAGAGCATTTTCCTTTTTCTGATCCTGAAGACGATTTTCAGACAGATCTCTCTGATGATTTCAAAAAAATTCCATCTCTTTTTGAAATAGTTGTAAAACCAACTGTGGATTTAGCACATAAAATTGGGAAGAAGTAAGTTAAAACTTTGCAAATGGCAGAAATATTCCCCCTAAATATTTACTTTAAGATACTAAGTTGCATTTCAAATTAATTGTCTAGTTAACATTAGGTAGAGATAACAGATATCTGGCATGCACTCAGATTGCTGCTTCCCCTTGCTCTTTGTCCCCCCCACCTTTAAGAATGTGTGTGTGTGTGCTCGTGTGTGCGCTCCCTGGGGATGCAACCCAGGGCCTCACAAATACTAGGTAGCACTCTACCACTGTGCAAATAGTTTGAGCACAAATTGTTTCTCAAACACCAGACACTCAAAACAGAATCTTTGCAGAACTTCAGAAACCTGTCAACATAGTAATCTTGGAAGGACATTGCCAGGTGGATGGATTGGCATTCCTCCTGCCAGATTATGAGCCTACATTTTTATTGAGAATATCTTCAAATAGTGGATAATATGTCTCCAGTATGTTTGGTTCTTTTTGAAAAGTAATTTCTTAGGCTATTAAAGGAAAACCTCTGAGTAAGCTGGATCTAGAATTCCATTTTTTAACAATACTATTCCAACTCTGCTGCCCATCCCTTAGTGTCTGTGCACTGTAAGGGCTATAAGTCCCCTTATTGGTTAGTTTTTTAACCCTGAATACCCAGGAAAGCAATGAGGTTTCAGTGGATGAGTAAACATCACAACTAATGTAACCCATTAAAGCTATTTCTATTAAAGTTAAGAAGACAAGCAGGTCTACTGTTTTGCTAATATTATGTAACAAATCCAGGCAATAATAGAAAGATTTTATAAGTATAATGATTAGAAGTGGAGAGGCAGATTCATTAAAGGCAGTTTCCTTCAATAAGCCCAAAGGATTTCACTGACAAAACTATTAGAAATGGTAAATTAGAAACTGAGCACGGTGGCACACACCTGTAATACTAGCGTCTCGGGAGGCTGAAGCAGGAGGATTATGAGTTCATTCAGCCTCAGCAACTTAGTGAGGCCCTAAGCAAGTCAGTGAGACGCTGTCTCTAAATAAAATATTAAAAAGTGTTGGGGATATGGCTCAGTAGTTAAGCACCTCTGGATCCAATCTCTGGTGCCAAAAAAAAAAAAAAGGAAAAGAAATAATAAATTAGCAAAAGGTACAGAAAGAAACGAAACATTCAGAGACGTCTCGAAGTTTTTGTATATGCCAGCAATAACTCATTGGAAATTATAATAAAAAGTTATACATATTAGTACAATTCTAATTTTTTTATAAGAAAAGTGTACATATACTTAGAAAAAGGAGTAAGACAGAATTGATCAAAAATTTTATCTCTGGATGATGGGATTTTAGAAGTGATTCTTATTTATCTTTGTACTTTCTGTGTTTTCCAAAATATCTGTATTAATGAGTAGGCTTTAGAACAGCCAGTTGTAAGCAACAATTTAAAAAACTGAGCTAAAAGGAAAACAAGAGATAGAAGTAGAGTTTCCATTTAACAGATGATATAGAACAAGTTGTTTCTTAAACACATGTTATTCTATTTGGATATAGGAAATCATACCTGGTATCTATTTAGGAGTGGATTATTCTTATTTGTCTCTTTTGTTTGAACTAAGAAACATATTTTTTTTTTCTCTCTACAGACCACCAGCATATTATAATAGTGCCTCACCACCAGGACCACAATTTCAGGGAAGCAGCCCATGTTCTCAGCATATCTATAGTTCTGGGTCAAGTCCAGGTCCTGGACCTAACATGTCTCAGGGACAAAATAGTCCTGTGATGCTCCCAGGCTCACCTGGACATCACCCATGTGTTGGACCTTCAGGTCTACCAGTGCCACAGAGCCCACCTGAAATCGTAGGTCCTCATAGTCAACCAGATACACCCTTGACACCATCGAGTGTGAGTGGTACTTACCACTCGCCAGGCTTCCCGGGACATGCTGTGAAAGTGCCCAGAGAGAACCACTGCTCTCCAAGCTCATCATACCAGCAAATTCCTGGGGAAATGCAGCTCAATACCAATTATGAGTCCCTGCAGAACCCAGCTGAGTTTTATGACAATTATTATTCACAGCATGCTGCCCATAATTTTCAGCCTCCTGATAACTCTGGTGGTAAGTTTACCTTTTGAAATAACTCATTTCTAATTTAAAATATTCAAAGTTTGATTTTTTGTTAAAAACATTGATAGGAATGTATGTTTTAAAATAAAGCAAAGTGAAACTGTTGAAATTAAAACCTTAAAATATGTTCTCATAGCACCAAAACAATACAAAGAGTAGAACTTTGGAGAAATAATAGAACTTTAGATAACTTTTAATAATACTTGAAAGTTACATAATACCTGGCGATTCCAGTGTGATGATTATTAGAATTTCAATGTCTTAGTTGGAGTCTGTTCATGCGGTGTCTGTCCCTTCCCTGTTATGACCACAGATGGGATGTGGCATGAAGAATTTGCCCAGCAGCAACCCTCCATTGCTGAGGATTCACCTAACCTGGGAAGTGGGCATGACACCAGCAGCAGCCTGACAGGCCATGGCCAGCTGTCTACTCCAGGACTCCTCCCTGCTGTGCAGAGAGCTCTTTTCCTCCGACTTACTCAGAGATACCAAGAAGATGAAGAGTTAGCCAGCAACCACCCTCACAGGACACCAAGCAAGGAAGAAGGTGTGTCAGGAGCTTAATAGCATTTTACCTATTTGAGTACATTAGAATGTGAAAATTAGTACCTCTGAACTATCATATTTCCAGTTTGTCTTGTAGCCTCCATCTTCTTAGAACTGCTTGCAGTTTCAGTGACATTAATGCTTCAGTGCTTTAATTAATTGCAGCCACGCACACCTATAATCCCAGCGACTTTGGAGGCTGAGGTAAGGGCATCACAGGTTCAAGGCCACCTTCAGCAACTTGGCAAGGCCCTAAGCAACTTAGCAAGATTGTGTCTCAAAAAGTTAAAAGGGTTGAGGATGTAATTTAATGGCAAAGTGCCCTGGGTTCAGTCCCCAGTGCCCCTTCCCTTAAAATAATAATTAATTTCAAAGGTTTGACTTGAAGTCATGAATACATTTAAAACTGGATTCAAGGCCTAGGTCATCATATTTACAAACAATTAAGCTTTTTCTTTTTTCAGGAAGAAGAGAAATAGAACCAAAAAAGGGTGCCCTCCAGTTTGGGGATTTTGAGTTCTAGCTCTACTTCAAAATAATGCAATTATCAGAGAAATTTTTATGGGCATAGAGTGTATACTTCTATATTATTAAGAAATACTAGGTAAGCACTTCACCACTGAGCTGGGGATGTGGCTCAGTGGTGGAGTGCTCACCTAGCATTCTTGAGGCCTGGTTTCAATCCCCAGCATCACCAACCAAACTGAAAAAAAAAAAAAGAAAGAAAGAATATTTTAATATAAAAAGATTATATGGAGACAGTAAGTTTATCTTAGTATTTTTTACATTGTTAAGTGTACAGCAATTAGTTTATTTAGTAAGGATGAGGAAAATTTAAAATATCCAGTTCTTTTTATGAATTATAAAATTTATGTTGGCCATTCTTAAACATTAAATTTATGAATAACCATGTAAATTAGGCAACACTAGCTAGTGTTAGATAACTCCAAGCTATTATATGAACATTATTTGTGAAATTTTTAAAGAAAGTAACATTAGCTCTCCTAGTATCTGATGTCACAAGAAATGAGGGATTCCTAATACATGAATTTCCTATACAGTTTAAACTTACTTCTTTAAGTGATAAAACTTAATTTAAAATAATAACAATTTTTTAAAAATGTGTATAGCCTCCTCCTACAAACACAAATTAATTTTTTTTTTTAGTTCTGGGGGATCAAACCCTGAGCCTCACACATGCCAGGCAACAAGCAAGTGCTCTACCACTGAGCCACATCTGTAGCCCTAAAAATAACCATTTTAATGGTAATMTTTCTATTAAGTCTTAAAGACTTTTAAGTTTTAATAAGCAAGAAAGTTAAAACTTATAGATGATAAAATTATATATTATAACATTATATAATTGGTGATGTTCTGTGAGGATCGTTTGCTCTACATATAGAAATAATCTTAAACTGAGCATGGTGGTGCTGGTCTGTAATCCTAGTTACTCAGGAGGCTGAGGCAGGAGGATCACAAATTCAGGGCCAGCCTCAGCAACTTAGTGAGGTCCTGTCTCAAAATTTAAAAAATAAATAAAAAGGGTTGGGGATGTGGCTCAGTGCTTAAGCACCTATGGGTTCAAGCCCCTATACCCATTGCCCCACCCCTCAAAAAAAAAAAAAGAAACAGAAGAARAAAGAAAGAATCTTGAATAGCTAGATTTGTTTGTGTTTGTATTCATTTTTATAAATCTTAATGCTTTTATGAATTTTCTCTTTTGATAAAAAGCTGTTAATTCTATTCCTATTTAATATCTGTTTTCTGTTGGGCAATATCTATTCTTCTGTCATTGTATTACTCTATTTATTCATTCCAAAAAATACCATCAGAATGCTTATGAAATATATTGATATGAAAAATAAGGATAAAAGAACTATTGTGAGGAGTGAAGTTACTATATAGAAATATTCAAAATAACCACAACTAGTAAAAGTGAATCAGTAGCCCAACTCTAGGATTCCTGGAGGTTAGAGAGAAGAGAAGAGAAGAGAAATCTATTGTCTAGAAGTGGATTTTACAGACCCTGAGATCTGAGGAAAACTTTTTGGCATTGTGGTGTGTGTGTGTGTGTGTGTGTGTGTACGTGTACACACACATACATATATAGGTATATATATAGGTATATATGTATATATGTATATTTTTCTAAACCACATCCTATCCTAAATACCAATGCTTTTTTTTTTTATAAAAACTTCTCTGTTCAACTAATCCCATAACACTATAAAGTTTTATATAGTAGGTAAAGGTGAAAATATCTATGATAGTCAACTGACCCAAGATGTTCTAAGACTGATTTATCTAATCCCCATATAGATATATTATATATAGGTATTAACTATAGATAATGTGTGCATATATGCTATGTTTTGACTGGGGTGTGAAGAGTAGATTCTCTGTGGCCATTCAAAACCATCCTGTGTAAGCCTTCATTCCAGAGGAAAGAAGACCACTCTCCTGAAGCATCAGCTTATAACCCCTTACTACTCTGCTAGCGAGCATACCTCTAACAGCCAGGCTTCTAAAAACTGCGTCTTCCATACCCTGTTTCCATTGGCTTGAAGAATAGTACCAAAGTATGTTCATAAAGTTAAAGTGTACAGTTTTTTAGGAAGTAAGTTTTATTTGTTGTTTTTAATTTAATGTTTAAAAAGCTAATATATTGCTTTGGTCAAATCTGAAAGTATAATAAAGTATGAATAGAATCTCCACCCTGTCCCTCATTTGCTCAGTTTTCATTGCTCCCTTAACCATCATTATCAGTGATTTGTTTTATTTCCAGTCCCTTGTTATCTTGTTAAATTCAGAGATATGAAGCTCAGGGATAGCTTGAAGAAACCCAAGACATTTTAGAAAGCCTTTCCCAGAGTATTTTCCTCCCCCTCCCAATCCTGTCACACACTTGTGAGTTTCCTTTGGCCAGTTAGAATGAAAGGTCCTGACTTTTCTCTGAGTGGGAGGATGGTATACTTTTTTTCAATGTCTCAGCTCCTTCTGTATAGAGTGTGACACCTGATTGCTAATTTCCTTACCACATTATCTTGTTCAGTATGGAAACCTGGCATTTCTATCATGGATTTTCTTTTTCTTTTTTTAATATTTATTTTTTTGTAGTTGTAGTTGGACACAATACCTTTTATTTATTTATTTATTTTTATGTGGTGCTGAGGATCAAAACTAGGGCCTTGCACGTGCGAGGTGAGCACTCTACCACTGAACCATAACCCCAGCCCCTATCATGGATTTTCTTGAAGTTAGACTACACTTGTTTCAGAATCAGTATGTATTTATTTATTCTAAGACCAAATTGAATGCTTTGTTCTTTACAATAAGTTTTTGTCTACATTTAGATGATACAGGTAACTGGTATTCCAGCAGTGAAGAGGAAGAAGGAAGCAGTGTCAAGTCAATACTGAGAACGTTACAGAAACAAACAGAAACATTAAGGAGCCAGCAACAACCTTCCTCAGAACTCAGCCCTCCTACTGACCCGAGACTTGCTAAAGAGAAAAATAAAGGAAGTCAAGTGGTTGATCCTAGACTCAGGAACATCCCAAGACAAGATGCTAGAAAGTCTTCTGAGTCTGTCCCAGTGGATCTTAGACTTGCATGGGATCCCAGGAAACTAAGAGGGAACGGAAGTGGTCACACAAGCTCTTCTGTTGGTGGAGCCAAGTTTGATTTACATCATGCAAATGCTGGTGCTAATATCAAACAAAAACGAGGAGATGACGATGAAGAAGATACAGAAAGAGAATTGAGAGAAAAAGCTTTCTTAATACCTTTGGATTCTTCACCGGGTGTAATATTGCAGGATCCAAGGTCACAATTGAGACAGTTCAGTCACATCAAAATGGACATTATCCTAAGCAAACCCAACTTCGCAAAGCACATCGTGTGGGCTCCAGAAGACTTGCTTCCAGTACCTTTACCTAAGCCTGATCCAGTGTCTTCAATCAACTTACCTCTTCCCCCTCTTATAGCTGACCAGAGGCTCCATAGGCTATGGAACACAAAAGGTGATCTTCAGCAAAACCCACTGTCCATGGATCCAAAATTAGCAACCAAAGCCAAAAGTAATCCAACAAATAGAGAAGGCTACTTAGAACAATTTGGAGACTTGCACAGTTCAGGAAGTAAACTAGGAGATCCTAGGCTGCAAAAAAATTTCGATCCCAGACTTCACAGACTGCCCAGTACCGAGTCTCATCAAGTAGGTATGAAGGAATCACATACATCAAAGAATGCCCCTCAGTTAGCTAGATTGAGCCCTGGTTCATCACAGCCCTCAGGGGCAGTCACTAGCAGCCCTAGTCCTGGGGCTCTGCATCCATATGCCCCTAAGCTCTCCTCTTCAACAGGCCTTCCACTGGGAACTCCAAGTTCTGTCCTCAGTGGTATTAGTTTGTACGACCCCAGGGAGCAGGGTTCATCACCTACATCAGAGCTAGCCACAGCTTCTTTAGGAGAAAATGCAGAGAACCAAAAAAAAAGTGGTGGTTTAAAAAATAATGACAAAATAGAGCCTCCTGGAGAAGCAATCCTGGCACCGAAAACCACTCCAAATGTGGAAGTCACTGTCGCTGGGCTGGCTGACACACAAGCAGATGTTCTCAGGAGCTCTGGGAAGGTTCAGGTCCCAGCAGTGCATAGTCTTCCTATTCAGGCCTTGGCGGGCTTGATTAGACCCCCGTACAGCGATCCAAGGCAGGTGAGGCAACCAGGCCAGGGGAGCCCGACTCCAGACAGTGAGCCCAGTAGGGAAACAGATGACAGATCTCTAAAGGAGGTTTTTAAAACTTTTGACCCGACGGCCTCACCATTTTGTTAGCTATTGTGTAATTCAGCAGCTCTTTCACTCTGTGACTGTCGCAATCCTCTGCTGTTTTGTAACTGGTTTACCTCTATAGTTTATTTATTTTTAAATTATAAACACTTTTCAGCTGCTAGTATCAGAACCACATGAAGTTATATCCTCTAAAGCCTGTGGTATTTTATATGATATTTTTATAACTTTAAGAGACCGTAGTAATTGACATAGAAACTTATATATCATGTTAGCGTCAATAAAAGTACTTTTATTGTAAATAAACCATCATGAACTCAACACTCTGCCTGAATATATGCCAGTTGTCTTTCGTAATCAATGTTTAGATCGACGATTACCACTTTTATATGGTTGTTTAGTTTTAAGCAATATGATATACATTACTTTTGAGAAACAGTATTTTGACTAGGACCTTCTCTATTTGTCAGCACAGAATTGATTAGTATGCTAATTAAAATGTAAAATGAAGTAAAGAAAACGTAAAAATCATAATTAGCAGAGCAGTTCATGTTCAAGGGCATCACTTTTGTTAGTATTGGCAATATTATTTGTGTAAATGAAACATTTAAATGTCATATTTTAAAAGTATTTTATTGTATACTGTATAATAGAAGTTGGAGGTACATAAATAGAATGTTTTGGTAAAGTGGAAAATTTCCAATTCTCCTATATAACTTTTTAAATTTAATTTTTCATATTCAATGATTATGAGTTACTTCTGTGTTACATTGTGATGATGTATTTCAATGTTTTTGTCTTTAGTGGCATAATTTATATTACTTTTTCAAATGAAGTTGCTGCAATAACTGGGTTCATCATGACTTTGAAGATTTTTAACAAAATTTTAACAGATCTAGTGAGTCTATGGTGATTATTACATTGACAATGTTTTAAATGTCTAGGTTCTATATTTTTTCCTGAGCATGAGAACACAGAGATTGCAGGTATCGTCAACTGTGTATGGCCACCAATAAAGAATCTCTTTCAGATCTCACCTGACTGGTGTTATGTAACAGACGGAATTACCTAGTGTTTTAGAAACCTCATGGTTTCGAAATCTAAATTGATCAGCAATTGTATTTCGTGAAAAATAACTTGTATTCATTCCCATGTATTTATTGCAGTATGTAAAATAATGCAACTCTATTTGTTTCATTCATTTATAATTTATAACAAAGTATCATGCTGATGTTCATATCTTGAACTGCAGGCATATGGCAATGTTTGCTGATAACATCTCCAGTAAGCAACTTGAAAATGAGTATTTCATTATAAAGGATAATGGAAGTAGATAATAAAATTGGTCCTTGGATGAAAACATCTACCCTTGAGAAGTGATTTTGAAAACACACAGCAGAATATCTCTGTGAAACCTGACACCCAGATAGCATATGGTTGGATTACAATGCATAGCCTTTCTGATCATGTCTTTCTTTTTCGTACTTTGAGTTCTGGTACAATGGTGTTGCAGTTACATGGACAAGAACTCTGCCACCTGAGGGGGTCACTGTGTTCTCAGTGGAAGGACAGTTACTTGTGAAAATGGGAATTCTTGCTGTTCATACTTTGGTGGCATTTGTTGCTTAAAATGGCCCTAGGTAACATTTTAGGTCTAAAAAGTGTGGTTGAAAGCCACCATAGAAAGTATTTTCTGATTTATTTTCCAAACAAAAATCATTGTTAATTGAAAAAAGTAGATAAAACTGATTAAAAATACTCCAGAGTAGTATAATTTACTCTCTTATCAGGGAAAATGTTTAGTTCATGTATTTTATCATTGTGTTAAGTAATGATGTTTACATTTTAAATTCTATACAAAAAAGATAATCTGACTGTAAAAGATCAAAATAGGATCCAAAGTTTTAACAGTTTCCATTTACTTTTTTAGTTATATATTTATTTATTTATCTGTTCTAAGGATTGAAAATCCCAGGACCTTGCACATCCTAAGCAAGTGCTGTACCACTGAGCTATAGCCCAGATCTGAATTTTATTTTGAGACAGGGTTTCACAGAATGGCTGATATTGTCCTCAAACTTGTGATCCTCTTGCCTCAGTCTCCCAAGCAGCTGGGATTACAGGTATGTGTTACTATGCCCTGCTCAGAAAATCTTTTACTACTAAAAGAGATATTTGAAAATAAATTAAAAGTAAGGTTTAAAAGTCATTAGTGCAAATTGTGTAATGTTCATTTATTCAGTATTCTTGAATCTTCACTATGCCAACGAATGTCTTGGAGGCAATTTTGCAGGGAGAGTGGGACTTAGTTTCAAATCTAGCAGTGCATTCATGTGAAAGTGTTTTATTTGCATTTAAAATAATGATTGTTGTTATCATACAGTTTTTAGTGAGATAGCATTAGCTTAGGGGTATCTGTCAGATCCTGTCAACAGATTCTTTTAAGTTCTTTCTTTTCCTATTGTCTCACAAAAAATTTAAGAAGTTGCAGTTTCCCAGTGAACAAGCTCTTCTTTAAGGTGGACTGGTGTCTTAGAACCCACGGAATTTGATTTACACAGACACACTAAAAGTAAACTGTGTTCTTAGAAGCCACACATTTAGAGATCACAAGCGTCCCTGTGTCTGAAGTTTCTGGAGAGGTGGCTCAGTTGGGGTGCCACTTGACTGTTGGTACTGGTTTTCACAGAAATTGTGAACCTGTTAATTTAATATTAAAYCAAGTGGAATATGCCAAGGTGTGGGACTGGGACACCAAAAGATTATTATAACTTAGATTTAGCAACTACTTTCTCATATCTCAGTTCTGAACTTAGGAAACGAGAGGTTCCACACGCCTCTGCCGCGGGTCTGTTTCTGAGTGGATGTGCTGTGCCTCTGCTGAGTGCAAAGCCCCAGTGTTAGTGACAGTGTAATGAGATATGTGGAGGTTCCATTTGTCTCTTCACTTGTCACAGACTCTCAATTGTAGTTTTGTTTGCTAGTCATACTTATTTCAAGGGCAAAAGAATAATTGATTAGTAAAGAAATCTTGTGTGGGCTGAATTAAGTAGAGAGAAGGAGAGGGAGCAGGGAGAGGACTCTCAAGGGCTGGGAGTTAAGGACAATGAATTCATATTCTTGTTCTGAATTTATTTCTATGCAGTTTATCTCAAGGTTTCCTTTCTTATCTGTGAAATTAGGATAATTTTGACTTATCACAGGTCTGATGAAGGGAGGGAGTTAATTATTTTTGTAAAGTATTTGTAAATATAAAATTGCTTTGTGACGTCACCAAATATAATTGTTTTGCTCCCAATTCAGGTAGTATTAAGTTGTACAGATTCCAAAATAGCATGATGGGATTTGTGTGGCTTACCAATTTTATGAAGTTTGAGGTGATGTACACTGCAGCTTCTACAACAGAGTTGCCTGAGAAGCTCTTTTGGAATATTAACCCAGACAGTGAGCCGTTTCCTTAAATACTGGTGTATCAGACAGACACGGGACTTCCCACTGTGGAGCTGTGTAGACTTGAAGTCTGTTCAAGATCTGACATTCCTTTCCATTTTATTTAGGCTGGATGTTGATGGAGGGTTAAAACGCTGTGACAGTCCATATTGTATAGCTGTTTGCTTAAGTCATAATAAATGTGGACAAAGTGGCCAGCTCATTTGGTGTGAAAGCCATTTGTTCTTAGAAGCAAGGTACATTATCTTTGACCCTTTAGTATGTATTTCTGCAGGCATGTGGTACCACATGCCTGAGTGACCACTTGCTTGATAATGGTAACTCTCTTTTCTTCTGCTTAATGGTGACTAGAAGTCAGGAAGCTCCTAGACATGTGGTTGAGAGTTCTTGGAGAAGCTGTCAGAACCTTCCCAAGTGTGTAACAGAATGTTACAGTGGAGTGGAGAGGTTTTCCCTGCGTCAGGCTTGCCTCAGAGGGCAGGTCTGCAATCAAGYAGTCCACTGTTGGGCCCTGCAGCCTGCAGTATTCAAGCTTTCTGTGAATCTCATATTACATGAAGAGTAATCGTGTTACTAACAATGATGTGGCAGTACTTTATATGTTAAAAATTAAGTCAAGTAGAATATATAAGCATTACAGAACTATAATCTTTTAAAATAAGACTTAGTGTAAGAAATCTAAACTTTAACAAAATGTAACGAAACAGGGTCTAGGTGTTCTAAGCTGATTTCTTCTCTTACGTATTAGAATATAGCATTTATTTAGTGCCTCACCCCAAGCAGTTTAATGTGATTGGCTGAACCAACTTTAGTAGCTGCCAGTCACTCTATTGCTGGGGTTTTGTGTTTGAGTATGTTGTTTATCTATAACTGTAACAAGCCCAAATTAACCTGCTTTTCTTGGAAAGGATACAAACCTAAGAAAAGACTAGGTTAATATCAACATAGTACTTAGAATTTTTAATGTTTAAGAAACAATATGTGTATTTTCAACCCTATGCTAAGCTTTTAGAAGAAAAACCCATCTGTGTCTTCATAGCAACAAATTAGTTCTGGGCACACACTGGATGCTTTGCTAACTGCTAGTTGAAGGCTTTGTGGCAGGACAGTCCATGACTGTATTAAAAGGGCGCAACTCACCAACTAGACCTCTTAGTAGACCCAGAATGCACTGCCTCCTTGGTTCATCCCTGTTCCTACCCTAAGCAATGCCAAGGCAGGTTTATGACATTTTATTGGGGAGTTAAGTATTTCTATGATCATAGTGCTAAGATTCCTCCTGACTTACAAGGTAGTTTCTTTTACTCCACAGAGGTTTGGATAGATGAATAATTTATACGTATACATCTATGAAAAACTCTTTCTATAACCAGACAAGGAACTACATAACTGGAGTCTCTTCACCTCTCTATTTTTTGGGGGGAGTGGGATACTGGGGATTGAACCCAGGGGTACTCTATCACTAATATATGTCCCCAGCCCTTTTTATTTTTTATTTTGAGCCACAGTCTCACTAAATTGCAGAGTCTCAAACTTGCCATCCTCCTGCTTCAGCTTCCCAACTCATTGGGATTACAAGTGTGTACCATAGCACCCAGCATATTTTTATTTTAAAATTCTTCTCTAATTTCCTCCTTCCTACTCCCCTTAAAATGTCAACTAAAATTATGAAGATAAGCCTAAACTAGTGAATTATCAAAAGCTATTAAAATTCCTTTTATACCAACATCATGAGCTCTTTCAGTTATGCGTTAACTCTTAATTTCTAAGCCTTATATCTGTTTTTAAAACATCTTTGAAATAGGACAATAATGTGCTACAGTTAGCAACATCATTGTAAGCATAAAGAAAATCTGTTTCTTTAAAAGAGGATTGTGAGTTCTTGAGTTTTTAGGATAGTATTTTATGGCATTATTTACCCTTGAATTGTTTATTTTTTAAGAATTGTTTATTTTTTAAACTTAAAGTTTGTAATAAAAAAGTGAATATATAGCTACTTACCACGTTTTAGAAAAAAATCAGCTCTGCAAGTCATCAGTCCCCTCACTTCTTGGCTCATTACAGATTTTATAAACACTGTGTGTGTGTGTGTGTGTGTGTGTGTGTGTATGTGTGTGTGTGTGTGTGTGTGTTTTGCTGGGGGTGGAACTCAAGGCCTTGCACATGCTAGGCAGGTGCAAGCGCTCTCCCACTGAGCCACACACCTTCAGCCCTTTGTTACTGATTTTAGTACTTTCATAAGGGTATTAAAGTTGGAAGTACTGGAGTTTGCATTTTCTAGTACTTTCTCAGAGGTCTGATTTATAACATACTGTAAAGGAAGTAAATATATAGAAGCCCAATTTTTTAAACAAATTAACAAAGTTATTTCCAAACCTCCATTACCAGCAATATCTTCAACTTATTTGTTGTCAATGATAGATTGACATTTTATATGCTTTTTAAATAGGGGAAGGTGAAAAATGGTAAATTGACCATTATTACAGGTAAGAGGTTTTAGTCTACCTCTCTTTTATAGGAGTTTGCCCTCCAGATGCTTTAGAGGGAACTCAAATAAGAATATTTTTTCAAGAGGCAGGATGATACCTCCTTATAAAAGCGACAATCAATTTGTATATTTAAATTGCCAAAGTTTAAAAAATTTTTACATCCCTATGCTAAACCTGCTGCCCCATCCACCTCAATTCAGAAAGGGCTCAGCCTCCACCCCAAGCTACAGGACCTGGGGCATTTTATTTCAGGTGAGAGCCTGTAGGGACACTGGTGGCCCCAGGATGGAGTGTGTGTGTTGGGGGTGGGGAGGTGGCCAGACAGGATCACCCATTTCCTATCAAATCACAAACAGTATCTATGGGTTGAGATCCAGGTTATACTACTATTTGGTATAAGGTCTTTTGTTGTTATTTTAATTCCCCAAGTTATATCTCAAATGTTGGGAAATGCCGCTAGACCATCTCACTTCAGAAGGTTTTTGTACATACCAGTTTGGTAGATTGAATTATTAATCTACTTTCTGTTCAAAAAACACCAGCAAGGGTTTTTTGCTTTTTTGTTTGCTGAATTCATCATTATCCCATTAAGGACTGACAAATTGCTTGGTAAGATCAGGATTATCTTTTCTTCTTTTCATTTGCTGATAAATTTCCAAGATGCATTCTGCTGTTGCAAGTTTCTGTAATGTTTTTTCTGTGATACCTTTCTATTGTCTGAATTTAAATTAAAATGTTTTTAATAATATCTGTTTGGCAGTGTGTTGCTTTGCTTTAATAAATCTTCAG